ATCAGTCATGTGATTCTTCTTACTCTGACCCATGGTCCAGTGAGACGGAATCTCGTCGACCTCTCTGTCAAACTGTTTCCTGATGATAGGCGGAGCCCTCCTAGCTTGCTTTCTTCCAGCATTCAATAATTCTTCCTGGAAGGGCTTCAGAAAACTCACATGAAAAGTTGGGTGAATTTTCAATCGATCAGGCAGCTTCAACCGATAGGCAACATTCCCGACTTTCTTCATCACCTCGAAGGGGCCATCGTATTTGGGAACCAGCCCACGGTGTACTACCTTGCTGTTGATCCTTTTCCATAATGCAGGTGTCAATTTCAGCAAAACTAGATCACCAACTTGAAATTCTAGTGGTCTGCGGCCTTGATCAACATATTTCTTTATTCGTTGGGAAGCTTTGGCCAAGCTTTCCTTTGCTTCGTCAAACAACTTCTGCTTGGAACGGGCAAATCGATATGCAGCAGGACATTTTCCTCCGGTCCTTTGTTTTACCACTTCATGGGGAGTAAGTGGTTGATGTCCCATAGCCAATTCACAGGGACTCATTCCTGTTGCTGAAGATCTATGCAAATTGTAGCAAAATTGGGCAGTGTCCATAAGCTCCACCCAATTTTTCTGACTTGCAGTGACATAGTGCCGCAGGTAGTCCTCCAGCAAGGCATTAATCCGCTCAGTCTGTGGATGACTTGCGATAGAGAACTTCAACTCAGAACCCATGAGATTGAACAACACCGTCCAGAATTTGCCAGTGAACCTGGTATCACGATCACTGACTATATTTTCAGGCAATCCAAAGTACTTCACCACGTACTTGTAGAACAGTTCTGCAGCAACATCTGCAGGGCAAGCATGAGGTGCAGGAATGAACACCGCATACTTAGAGAAACGATCGACCACCACCATGATCGAACGCATGCCATCAACATTTGGTAGATTGCAAATGAAATCCATCGAGGCTGACTGCCATGGTCTGTCAGGAATGGGCAGGGGCTGTAGCAAGCCTGCCGCCTTCTTCTTCTCAACCTTGTCAAGTTGGCACACTAGACAGATTTTGACATAGGCTTCAATATCGTCTTCCATCTTGGGCCAGTAATAGGAGCGAGCCAACAATGCAAGCATCCTCTCTACTCCTAGATGTCCAGACCACTGAGAGTCGTGTGTCTCATGCAGCAACTCCAGTCGTTGTTCCCCTCCCGTAGGAACATAGAGTCTGCCCCTTTTAGCATAGAGTAGATCATCATCAATCCAGTATCTACGCACCAGACCTTCGCCAACTTGTTGCTTCAATTTTCCGTAAGCAACATCAGTCTGGGCACGTTCTTTGACTCTTGCCAGGAAATCAGTCTGCACACTGGACAGTGCAGCAACATATTCTTGGACCTCCTTCCTACTCAACGCATCAACAACTTGATTTTGCCTTTTGGGTCTGTGTACCCATACAAAATTGAACTCAGCAAGAAATTCCTGCTATCAGGCCTGCTTCGGGGTCAACTTCTTCTGGGTCTTAAAATAAGTGTTTGCCACATTATCTGTCACAATAGTGAATTTCATTCCCAGCAAGTAGTGCCTCCAGATTTCAAGGCAATGCACCACAACAGTCATTTCCTTCGCATGTGCTGAATATCGCTGCGCAACATCTTTCAGTTTTCAGCTTTCAAAGGCAACAGGGTGTCCCTCCTGAACAAGGACTCCTCCAATGGCGCGGTCAGAGGCATCGGTGTGCACTTCGAAAGGCAGATCAAAGTCCACCAATCTCAGTACAGGTGCAGAGGATACTGCATGCTTTAGCTTCTCAAAAGCTGTCTGACAGGCATCATTCCAATCCCACTTTTGGTCTTTCTTCAGCACGTCAGTGAAGACATTGCACTTCTTTGAATATCTTTCAATGAACTTGCGGTAGTAATTGGCTAGACCAAGAAATGACCTTAGTTCAGACACCTTGGTTGGTGCAGGCCAATCAACAATTGCCTTCACCTTCCTCTCATCCATCCGGATTTTGCCCTGGCTAATGTAATGTCCCAAGAACATCACTTCTTGGCGACAGAACTCACATTTTTCCTTTTTGACATACAACTGGTGTTCCCTAAGCCGTGAGAACACGACCTTCAAATGATCTATGTGATCCTCCAGTGTTTCACTATAGATTACAATGTCATCTAAGTAAACAACCACAAAGACATCAATGTAATCGTAAAAAACATCATTCATTAGATTACAGAAAGTTGTCGGGACATTAGTGAGCCCAAACGGCATTACAAGAAATTCAAAAGAACCATAACGCGTCACACACGTAGTCTTTGGCTCATCCTCTTATGTAATTCTAACCTGTCAATACCCAGTCCTAAAATCCAGCTTTATGTAGACAGTGGCCTTGGACAGTCTGTCGAACAGATCAGCAACATTCAGAACAGGGTACTTGTTCTTGATAGTCACCTTGTTCAAGGCACGGTAATCGATGTACATGCGCAACGATCCATCTTGCTTCTTCTGGAACAGAACATGGGCTCTGTATGGCGCCTTGGATGGCTTCATGTTGTCAGAATCTAGCAACTCGTTCAATTGCTTCCTCAATTCTGTCAGTTCCATTGTCGACATCCGGTAAGGGGCACGGGCTGGAGGCTTTGCACTAGGTTCCAGTTCTATCTTGTGGTCAATTGCATGTCTGGGTGGAAGATTCTTGGGGAGTTCAGGGGGCATAACATCAGCAAACTCGTCCAGTACATCTGCCACAGTATCAGGTACTTCAACCAGCACATCTGGTTTGATATCCACCAAGGCTGCGAGGTATGTCATCTCGCCCTTCTTCAACCCAACATTTACTTGCATAGTGGACAGCATTCCCACCTTCCGCTTTCCATCTTTCTTGCTTTGGTTTGCCATGACTCTAGGTACAAAGCAGGGTGCTTTCTCATCCGTGATCAGCACTCCGTTCAGATGTGGCATTAGTGCCACTTTCGCTGTAACAAAGAATTCATTCCCTAGGATGACATCAAAGTCGTCTAAGGGCACATCCATCAAACTCATTTGGCCTTCCCACAAACCCACCTTTTGGCGTATTTCTGCTGTACCACGTACTGGCATTGCTTCAGAATTTATTGCTTTGAGTTTGCTTAAATTCTCTAACAGTTTCAGGCCAAACTTTCCCACCTCTCTTTGGGCAACAAAGTTGTGGGTGGCTCCAGTATCCACCATGGCCTGAACTTTCTTGCCATTCACCCAGGCCTGAACAAACATGAGGCCTTTGCGGGGTTGCTGAACTTTGCCCACAGTAATTGCGTTCAGCAACTGGAAAGGGTTGACTCGAGTAGGATAGTCATCATCACTGTCATTCTCACTTGCAGCAACAAGGGCACTTAACTTCTCCCTCTTGGGGCAGTCTTTGACAAGATGGGGGCCACTGCAGAGAAAACAACCAGAATCATAAGTTTTCTTCTTCTTCTGGCTGTTGTCTGGCTTGTTAAAGTCAGCACTGTTCTTCTTTTTCTTCCAATCCGCTTTCTTTCCTTCTTTGGAAGTGCCAGCCTTATCTTTCCTGCCGCTACCATTCTTCTTCTTTTTCTCAGGAGGGCCTTGGCTGCCGCCCATTTTGAAGTCAACAAGGCCATCTGCTGCAGAAATGGCAGTGGGAAGATCACGTACCCCCTGCCTTCGCAGTTCAGCCTGTGCCCAACCTTGCAGTCCGGACATAAAGTTGAAGAGTTTGTCTTCCTCTGACATGTTCTTGATGTCCAACATCAATGAACTAAACTCCTTCACGTAATCACGAACTGTTCCGGTGTGCTTCAACTTTTTGAGTGAGTCCCTAGCAATCCAAGTTGTATTGCTAGGGAGGAATTGATCCTTTAATTCCTTTTTCAGGGTCTCCCACATCTCGATCTTTGGACGACCAGCAGAGGCATCGTCCATCTTCCGGGTCCTTCACCACAATTTGGCATCACCAGATAAATACATACTGATGATTGTTACTTTCTCTCCATCAGGCACATGAGCTGTTTTAAAGTACTGCTCCATGTCTCAAAGGAAATTCTCCAGATCCTTGGCACTTCGGGTGCCTCCGAAGGCCTTTGGTTCAGGGACTTTAATCTTTGAAGATGTCTCGCCCACAGTAGGATGAGAATTCATGGCCCTCTTCACCAGGGACACTTTATCTTCAAGATCCTTCAAATTCGTTTTGACAACGTCTGTGAGAGACATGATATCCTCCATCATTGTTACAATCTTTGCATCGGTGTCAGATACATAACTATCAAATGCCATCTGTAATCCCGCAATTTGAATAGCGTGTTTTTCCATTTGCACAGCCACGCTGGTTGCACCATCTGTCTGAGGGGCACCCAGAAAATTTTCGAGACGGGCAACACGTTCTCGCAATTTAGCAGCGTTTCCACCAGCCATGGTCGCAAACTGAAGCTCTGATACCAATTGTCACGGGGTTAAATTTCTCACCAAATTTCTACTTCGTGATGGCACTAAGATCTAACACTGAGTCTCAGCCAAACACTCAGAATGCACACAAAATGCATATAGAACAGAGAATGGATAGTAAGTAAACACACAGGCAAGACACACAGAATTTACAGGCAACATCCAAATCTTTCTTTCTCAATAAAGTATTAGGAACTCAACCTTGGGGTCTGTTTACAAAAATGTGCCAACTCTCCTGTTGCACTACAGACCCCAAGCACCCTATTTATAATATTTAGGGTGGCAGTTACAAGTCCAACTGCCTAGGCGCATGTCTGTAATTCAAATGCTACCAAAGTTTTGCTGTGATTGGATGACAGGGAAGTTATAACTGGTGTCTGCATGCTTGTCTGAATCTGACAGAGATCCCACATGCAATGCACTTGCCAGAAAAACTGTTCAGAATTGCCATCATCTGTAGAGCACATGCCCAACTTCCTCACATGTCGTGCATGTGTCAGGAGCCCTCAACATCCGAATTGCATTACACTCGTGCCTAACCATGGCCCAGCTCATGGCTCATTATTCAAGCTAGCATCGCCCCACAATTCAAGCCGCCCGCTTCCTTGCTTGCATGGTGACTTGTGCCCACGTGCCCATGTGCATGGACCGCCTCCCTCAGTCGTGCAGGCATGGGTGCCTATGGGCGAGGCTACCCGATGCCAAATGCTGCCAATGGATAAGGGGGTAACATGTGGACATTTTAGTTTTCAGAAGGCCCTATGCTTGTTGTCTTCACCTGGAGCACTATTGTAAAATGTTGTCACGATTGTGCCTTACTGCATAGTTTTGTTCACTTTTCTTTTATTGAACTGCAGGTTCCGCATGAGCTATCTCCTCACTTGGGTGATTTTGTCCGTGTCAGAACAGGCATGCAGGTAAAATTTAATCAGTTTTTCGAGCATTGTTAAGTTTCTCTCTGCTGTTCAGGACATCTCCCTGCTAATCGTCTTCTAACTTAAATTGGTGGATTTTGGCCTCTGATCTATCCTACAAATTCTTGATAGTTAAGCATTTCCTTCTTTTCAGATTGTCATACAAGCTGGATTACTGAAAGAAGGTTTTTGTGCAGTCCAGGATGAGAGTGCAGGTTGATTTTTAAGTCTCCTAATATCTGTTTGCCCTTATCTTAAAATATGGAACAGTAGACAATATTCTGCGTAATTCTTAGACTGTATACCACTTATGGATAAAATGCAAATTTAGTTCCTACATATTTGATGTTCCCTTGTGGTACATAAACTTCTGTCATATTCAGTCTGGTTGTATGTCTCTATCAAGCAATTGGCAGCTTGAACTTTTATTGTGCAACATGCTCTGGCCTGAGCTTGTTGATCAATATGAGTATGTGTCGGCTACACACTTCCTCTTGCTCTAAATATAAGGGCTATGCATGATATGATTATCTAGAGTACCTTTTAGTCCCTCTCTATGTCTCCTTCTTATCCTTTAAGACTTTGTTTGACCAATGAACTAAGATATACGTGCAAGTATCAGGGCTTATAAAATACGAACTGTGATCTTGTGTTAATTTCATCTATGGTGTCTGAAACAGGACAAAGGTAGCTAATGGTAGATGTTGTCACACTCTACATTTCTAATTATGTGTTTAATTGCTGATTTCCTAATTCTATTCTTTACTTTGTGGTGGAAAAGAAGATTTTTGTCCCACATGGTTGTGCACCTAATCTTAAATTTCAGAGCAGGTTTGGTAGTCTCTGTTGTAGATCCACAGCCCGGTGAGATTATTGTTGATTGTTGTGCTGCTCCAGGAGGAAAAACCCTTTTTATTGCATCCTGTTTGAGTGGCCTAGGTAATTTCATAAAGCAAAGGTTTCATTTTCCTGTTTTGGTTGCTGTTTTGTTTAGTCATCTTAACTTGTATGTTTCTTAGGAGGGGAGAAGGGGTTTTTTTTAAAGTCAATAAGGGGAGAAGGGTGCTGATAATAGAAATTAGGGTATGTTTGTTCATGCAATTTTGGCTTTTAGAAAATAAAGCAGGAAGTGAAATCAAGTACTCCTTTTTGTTCTCTTGCTCCCCAAAAGAGTATAAAAGATCAAGGAAATATCCAAATTCACCTGTTCTTAAAAAGATTAAAATGAGTTTATAAAAAGAAAAAGTGAATCTTTTACTAGCTCTCACCTATTATAATCTGTATTCATGCTGTATATTCGTTTCTTTCTTCCTTTCTAAATTATATCTCTTGCTAAGTAAAATTTCTGATTTTTTGGTTGCGTCTTTGGCGGTTTCCTAGTATAAAATTTTGAAATTGCTGGAGTGAAGCTCCAAAACTAAGCTGCTGGATGAAATGTACTTTTGGGCCTACATATATTCTTTTTGTAGTAGCTTTATTTAATTGATGAAGTTGAGGTGTGCTTGCAGGTGTGATTATGGGTTCCAATCTTATCCCCCCCCCCCCCCAAAAAAAAAAAAAAAACGCAGTAAAAATAATTGTTGATGAAGTGCATATTGTAGTGTGATACAGCAGCATAGTTTTGAATAATATGGGGGATACTTTGTCTGTTCCAGGTATGGTATCTGCTATCGACATAAATAAAGGCCGGTTGAGAATACTTAGAGAGACAGCCAAGTTGCACAAAGTTGATGATGTCATCACTGTTGTCCATGCTGATCTTCGGACATTTGCTGTAACTCTTTATCACATGAAAAGTGGGAGGTTATTTTTGCAGCTTGAGGTATCTAACTTCTTGCTGTTTTCTTTCTTTTATCAGGACAATAATCATGTGAAGTTTGATAAAGTTTTGCTGGATGCTCCTTGCTCTGGATTGGGTGTTCTGTCGAAGGTATTTTAATAAGGATACCTGCAGTTTTAACTTACTTTTTTGTTTGCATCAATTTTGAACAACATGGGGAGTTTTCTTCTTTATTTTGTTTTTCTTTTCCATTTCATTTTCCTGTGCTTGCATTCTCTTTTATTGCAAGTGAAACTAAAAGAAAACCTGCAGTTTATCTGTCTCCTTTCTTTCCTTGAAGAGAGCAGACTTGCGATGGAATAGGAAATTGGAAGATATGGAAAAACTTAAAGATTTACAAGATGAACTTCTCGATGCAGCTTCCATGTGAGACCAACAGTATTCTTCTGCTGATGTTTTTAATTTTTGTTGGTGGACAACAGGCCAACATCAGAACCTTTTTTTTCTTGGTTGAGACTGGCAAGAAAACATTTTTACCACAAGAGATTGTACGACTGTATTGACTGTTTTCCCTTGTGTCCCTTTATCTTCTTGAAGTTGGAGCCTTATGGTTTGATCTTTTACTTCTGGTGAAGCTTCGTCTGTTGAATTCAAAAGTTAATCTATATGAATTAGAAGAGATTTAAAACTTCAAATTTGCAAGCAGCGAACAAGTTATGATGTGCTTCGGTCCCTTCACGATATTTAAATGGTTTAATAAAGAGGTTATCATATGTTTTGATATTCTGCTCATTTGATCTTTTCCTTTTTTTCTCCTTTCCCCCTTCCACCTTTGTTACGAATTTGTAGGTTGGTGAAGCCTGGTGGAGTACTAGTGTATAGTACATGCTCCATTGATCCCGAGGAAAATGAAGAGAGGGTGGCTGCATTTCTTCGTAGGCATCCAGTAAGAGCTACCATGCTCTGTCTTGACATGCTTTCTTTCTATGTTTACACTTCTGAGAAATACACTAAAAAGTAAAAACTGTGCTTCATTCAATTTTTTTGTATAGAGGAAACACTTTTTGCAGACTCTTGTTTTATGGGAGACCAAATGCTTAGATGGGAAAATACTTTCTTATTTTTGTTAAGACAGGACAAAGTAAATGTGGCCTCTCAGATAGATAGATATTTATAGTCTGTCCGAAAACTTGCTGCAGTGTACTCGTTCACAGCTCTAGCTGGCTTAGAAGTATTTGATTTATTCATTGACTAGTCATAACCCGTGACTGAAGGTATGATAAAACTTAAAATTCGAACACCAAAAAAAATCTATCCACTATATTAAATAATATATATTTTTTCTTCATTTCTTTGATTCTATCATTTAAAATCTATGTTTATCCATTAGTTTCAACTATATTAAATAATAATTTTTCTTTCCTTCATTTATTTGATTACATCATTTAAAATACATGTCTATCAGAAGAGGAATATATATGAGTGAAAGAGATACAAATTAAGTGTAGAGCCCCCGTATATATAGTCAACAATAAAGATACAATAAGGATAAAAAAGTAAAACAAAGATAAAAAAGGAAAACCCTAATAACTTATGCTATAACTCCAACACTCCCCCTCAAGCTAGGTGCAAAAATATCAATAAAAATATCAACTAAGTCAAGTTTGACAACAGAGTCCTGAAGAATGGATAGAGTAACAGGTTTGGTGAAAACATCCGCAACCTAATCACGAGTCCCCATAAACAATGGAGTGATAATACCACAGCTAACCTTCTCCCGAAAAAAGTGAACATCGATCTCTATATGCTTCGTCCTCTCGTGCAGTATAGAGTCAGAAGCAAGCTGAATAGCAGACCGATTATCACAATATAATGTGGATGGAGAAATCACTGGAAATCCCAACTCGCCAAGAATCGATCGTAACCAGATAATCTCACATGCGCCAAGTGCCAGTGCCCGATACTCTGTCTTTGCTGACGAGCGGGAGACAACTAACTGCTTCTTGCTCTTCCAAGAGATAAGATGAGCCCCTTGAAAAGCACAGAAGCCCGTAGTAGATCGACCATCACACGCTCCCCCATAATCTGAATCTGAATAACAAGCTAGAGAATCAGTCTGAGATCCTGATGCATAGAACAACCCAAGTCTAGGACAAGACTTGAGGTACCGAAGAAATAATAAACTGCATTAAGATGAGGCTGACACGGCTTGTGCATAAACTGACTAACTTGGCTGACCGCGAATGAAATGTCTGGCCTTGTGTTGGCTAGATAGATAAGTCTACCTACCAACCTCTGATAGACAGCCGGATCTCTCAACTCCTCACCTTCAGCAGTAAGCTTCAGGTTTGGAATCATGGGTGATGATGCCGGTTTGCACCCCATCATCCCAGTATCTGAAAGAAGATTCAAAACATATTCTCTCTGAGAAAGAACAACATCCTTGCTGTTACGGGCAACCTCAATCCCAAGAGAGTATCGCAAAAATCCAAGGTCCTTCACATCGAAGGCCTTCTTAAGGTCTACCTTGACATGCGCAGTCCCATAAACATCATCCCCGGTAATAATAATATTATCAACATATACTAAAAAGATAACACACTGTCTAGAAGTATTTCGCCGAATAAAGCAGGTATGATCAGAATGACATCTGGTGAACCCTAAACGTACGACTACATCACTAAAGCAAGAGAACCAGGCTCGCGGTGACTATTTCAGTCCATAAAGAGACTTGTGCAATCGACATATCTTTCCAGCATACTCCCCCTCACCACGAAAATCCGGTGGTGCATCCATATAAATAATCTCGTCCAGATCACCGTGAAGAAACGCATTCTTCACATCTAACTGATGAAGAGGCCAAGAGTACTCTGCAGCTAGAGAAATAATCAACCGAACAGTAGTCAATTTTGCCACAGGGGCAAATGTAGCACCAAAATCACGACCTGGTACCGGAGTAAAGCCCTTTGCCACAAGCCTAGCCTTGTGACGATCAATAGTACCATCCGCAAGAAACTTCAGGGTGTAAACCCAGCGACAGCTAGCAGGCTTCACCCCTGAAGGTAAAGAGACAAGATCCCATGTATGATTACGTTGAAGAGCGTCTATCTCTGTCTGCATAGCAAGAACCTACTGGGGCTCTTGCATAGCCTCTGAAACAGAACGAGGAACCGGCGTATCTAATAAGGCCATACTATAAGCTCGAAATGTAGGAGATAAATCACCATAAGAAATATAAGCAGAGATCAGATATAAAATCCTGGCGTTCTAACCATAACGATCAACTGGATGGCGATTACGTCGCGGATAACGACGCCCTAAATCATCATCCTCCACTAACAATGTCTCATAAGGTAATGTAACTGGCTTAGTACCTGCAATCTCATCAGTACTAACAACAGGGACATCAATATGCTCAACGAACTCAAAAGTATTACCCGCATCGCCTGAGGTAGAGGAGACATCAGCAGGGGGATGAGAGCGAGGGCGATGAACATAAACCTGCAAAGGAAGAGAAACTGGTGACTCTGGCTTTGGAGGAGAAGAGATTGATGACTCTGTAGTGATAGGGATCAATGGCTTTGACTCCTGTGGTAATGGAAAATCAAAGGGAGTATCATCAACTGAAGGGAAAGACACAAGATTGGAAGAAAAATAGGGAATATGCTCAAGAAAGGTAACATCTAGACTATGATACATACGACGCCTGATAGGATCAAATCACTGATACCCCTTAGACTGATGACAATAACCCACAAAGATATAACGAATCGCTGTATCATTAAGCTTATGGCGAGTAGGAGATCGATCCTGAACAAAACATGTGCAGCCAAAAACACGAGGGGGGACAGGAAAAAGTGCCCGCTCAGGGAATAAAACTTTTAAGGGAGCCCTATGCTGAAGAACATGACTCGGTGTGCAATTGTACAGAAAGGTAGAAGTCAAATCAGCAAAATGTCAGTAAGATTTTGGTACTCCCATACCTTGAAGCATATAACGTACCATCCCTATCAGAATCCTATTTTTCCTTTCAGCAACTCCATTTTGCTCAGTAGTATATGGATAAGTGAGCTGCTGAAGGATATCCTGGGAAGAAAGGTGAAACACTAAGGCATCAGACACATATTCTTTGGCATTATCCGAACGAAGAGCACGAACAATGATATCGAATTGTGTCTTAATCATCTGGAGAAACTGAGTGATGACAGGGAGTACATCAGACTTTCTATGTAAAAGTTAGACCCAAGTACAACGGGTATGGTTATCTATAAATGTCACATAGTATCGAGTACTTGATAGAGCAATAACAGGAGAGGGTCCCCAAATATCAGAGTGTATTAGGTCAAATGGGTTTGGTGATTGGTGCATGCGAGAAATATAACTGGTCCTAACATGTTTTGATAGAGAACATATAACACAATCAAGTTTACTACAAACACAAGCATTGCTTAAAGCAAGAAACAACATACATAAATATTTAAAATTTATATGTCCAAAATGATCACGCCACAACTGAACAGTTTGTGATGAAAAATCATGACGACAAGTACTAGGTAAAATACTAGCATGCAAGCTAGGAATAGATAAAAATAAAACAGCTGCAAGTGATGGAGATGAAGGAACTGGTGAAACTGGAGGTGGATCGCCTAGATAATACAGTCCATCTCTCTCATGTCCCCTGATAATAATCCTCCTGGTACTCAGGTCCTGCAAATAACACGAATTAGATAAGAACACAACCGCACAATGAAAATCTCTGGCTAATTGATGTACAGATAATAGATTCATGGCCAACTTTGGCACATGAAACACTGAACGTAATGTAAAGCCATTTGGAAGGCGGACTGTACCCCTACTAACAATAAAGGTATGTGTCCCATCTGCTAGTTGAACCTGTGTATGTAACTGCTTGTCAAAAGTGGTGAAGTGATGGGCTTCACCTGTCATGTGACCATTCGCACTCGAGTCCAGCATTCAAAGGGGAGACGGACTGGCACAAGCATGAAAAACACGAGGTATACTTGTAGTGGTGGCAGCCACAGTTGTCGGACTTTGAGAAGTCAGAGCGGACATAAGCATATCTAATCGGGAAGTGATAGTATCCATATCACTCTGCCAAAGAGGAACAGTAGCAGTAGCAGGAGTAGCGGTAGTCAGTGGTGGTACCTTAGCAATAGCAGCAGTACGGCTGCGAGGAGGGGGCTTAAGCTCCGGATGGAGCATCTAGCAAGCAGCCCTCAGATGTCTTGGTCGGCCACAATAATCACTGACGAGAATCCCCCTGTCTGCGCTGATCTGGGGCACCCTGACGGCGCTGGTCCGAGCGGTGTCCACCTCTAATTAAGGATCCTGAACGAGACCCTGCAGCAGCCGCAAGGGCCATCTGGTCAGCCGAAGGAGTCAAAGTCTCAACTAGAAGTGATGCAATACGAACGCGGCGCTCATGTTGCTCAATCATTGCATACACCTCATAAAGAGATAGAAGTCTCAACATCGACAAGATCTGAGAACGAGGCCCCTCAAACTCATCACGAAGCCCCATAAGAAACTTGTGAATCCTATCCTCCTACTCTCGAGTATGCAAGAATGTAGCTCCCTCGGGCTTTATCCTCGGAATGGTAGCAAGAGGACGTAGAGTTTCATACTCAAGCCAGCGCTGGGTCAAATAGCCATAATAATCCTGAATAGTCATATCTCCCTGTGGAGCATATGAGAGCTCCTGAGAAAGCTCATAAACACAAACTTCCCGTCCTGACTGGGAATATATCTCTGATAATGCTCTTCATAATTTCGGAACAGAGCTATGAAACTGGTGTATCTTGCAAACAGATGGCTCCATTGAGCCAATTAACCATCTAAGAATGGCGCAGTTCTCAGAACATCAGCTGGCTTTAGGTGAGATCCCGTCAGCCAACCAAACTTCCCTACACGGCCCAAGAAAAGCTGGAATGAATGTGATCACTCAACAAAGTTACGATCATTCAACAATTGTGTCGTAACCTTCTGAGAGATCATTCCCGG